CGAGGCGCCGGTAGCCCCAGGGCGGGCAGGTGGCATTAGCTTCGGGAAAGCCGAGGCACCACCTCCCTCCCACGCCTTGGCGAGCGTGGCGGGTTGCAGCACACCTGAGGGACGTGGCCGGTCGCTCACCTCCCCTCAAAGCCCAGCTCCGCCGGAGCATGCAGAAATCCTGAAATGACTGTAGAGTCGAGCTCAGCATATACTGCCCATCGTTATTTAGAGTTCATGACCACCTATCTGGTACTCCCTGAGCTCCCATGACACAGCGCTGGCCCTGCTGCACACAGAGAGCTCAAACACTCTCCGACCTGCACTGCTGAACACAGGTCCAGCTCATAAAGGGCTCCTCTGTCACCCCCCAGAGCCGATGCGATGGTTTGGTACTGCTGTGCACCATGCTGCTTTCCTGAGGTGGCCTGAGAACACCTCAGCTCGGTGCTGCTTAAAGAACTGGGGAAGGGCTGAGACGCCTCTGTGATCCAGGCACCCCAGAGCCTCACCGCTACAAAATAAGGACATTCAAGCTCGCCAGGATATGACCCAATGCTCCCAGAGCGAGCTCACGTCCCCTCCCAGCAGCCCTGTACAGGAGGTAACAGTGGAAGTGGGCTACGCAGGGCTCCCGGCAGAAAGGCACGCAGCCGCCCTGCAATCCTCTCGCACTCCGCTCAGCCCACCTCACCCAACGGCCGGATTTACTCCGGCAAGCAGGGACGAAGTCCCACAGTGTCCTGCTGCAGCAGGAGCCGAGGCAGCAGAGAATACACCCCTGTAAACGCTGACCATGTAAGTGAAAAAGAAGCAATTTCAGCTTCCCCAGAAATCACAGTAAGGGGGTAAGTTGCCTTGGTGGCTCAAGCGGAGAAGGGTTGAGGTTGCAAAAGTCCTTGTCCCATCTCTGCGTTCACCACACTAGGGGGAATCAGCACTCCACATTTCTCCCTCGAGCAGCTCTGAGCTGGCCCAAAATTCTGCTGCCCTCAGCTATAGCTGCAGAGGAATAGACAAAGAATACTTTATTGAGGCTGCTGGACCCAGACAAGCCTCCAGCCACATCTGCATAATATCCCCTCATGGGACCCCACCATCACTCGGAGAGAAGAGCAGGCACCAGCCTGCCTAACCCCAGGACCTGCTCTGACTGCTGGTCTTTTACTTCACCAGAACTCAGGCTCGAAGCTTCCACAGTTGCTTGAGATGAGTCAAAGCTGTCTCCCTGCTGAGGGGCTGGGTGGACGGTATGCTTGAGATGCAGGACCACATTAATAAGTGCTGTGGTCATGCTGAACAGCAGGACGTTCCCCCCCCATCCATGGGTCTTCCATGTCCTAGGTGCAGGCTTGAGACTTATCCATAAGGGAACAACTCTTAATCAAGAACCCAAACAACTGGATCACACACAGATTATCATGCACAGAGAGTCTTTTAGGCCAGGGATGCTTTAAAAAAAAATCAGTTTATTTTACCTTACAAATGATAAATAATTTGCTTTAAAAAAATCATTTCAAGTGTGTTTTACTTCATGTTGCAATATTAAAATACCTTTCCCTTCTCCCCCCTTAAGTGATCAATAAAAAAATAATTGTGACCAAATTCTTTTTTTTTGTCAAAAATTCCTGTATTTTAGGCAAAAAGGCACATTGTGAAGGCTTTTCACCAGGAGGTACAGGGGTTCACAGTGACCCCAACAGCCTCTCTCCCCTCCCTGCTTGTTCTAATGTTAGTGGAAGAGGACACAGGA